TCCGCTCAGCGCGCTAGTCTGGACGCTCCCCTGCCGACATCAAAGCCCTTTGTCGGCAGCCCCGGTAAACCTCATCCCCTGATCAGCTGTTTGTCGGTTCAGCGCGGCAGCCATGTAAATTTAAATGAAGCTGCGATTATTTAAATCGCGGCTTCATTTCCCTTTGCCGAACAAACAAATCTACATGGCTCAGTCGACGGAGCCATGTAGTTTAGACGTACCCTAAGTGTGCAAGTGGTTCCAGGTGAAATCAATAGGGCTAGTCAGATGCTTAAACTTAAGCATGTGTTAAATGCCCTGCTGAAGCTGTACCTATGGCTAGGGATGGTTATTCTGAGGAGAAAGAGTCTAAGACCACTAGATCAGGCCCCGTAGTGCTAGGTGCTGTACAATGGCAAAGAAATAACACAGTCCCTTCCCCAAACACCTTACAATTTCATTTGTATGTCCTCTGGGATACGAGCCATAGATCCCAGGTGATCAGATGTCCTGAAACTATTTTTCAGGACAGATTTTGAATTTCATGTTTGTACATCCCATGAACAGTGTGAAACAGCTTTTGTGGAAGAAGCTGACATTTTCCATTGCTCACCATCACACCAAATGATCTGTGTGACAGAATAAAGGAGACACGGATTACTCTAGAACAGTGTTTCCCAATTTTATTTGGCCACGGAACCCTTTTAAACTCGGAAGAATTTCGAGGAACTCCTACAGCCCAGAGGGAAATTTGTAAAGCAAAGAAAAAAAAAACCCAAAACCCACCACTGGGGAGTGGACCAGGGAGACCTGGGGGCCAAAATGCAGTCAGGCATGTCCTGAGCAGGCTTTGGAAATGCAGAGTGGCAGCGGGGGAGGGGAGGTGTCTGAAAGTCGGCGGTAAACCTGAGAAGGAGCCGGCATCTTTGCATGCCGGCTCCTCTCTGTCTCTTTAAGGGAGGAGGGGGAGTGTTCGGGTTCCCACGGAATCCTTACTTTCACTTTGCTGGGGTTTCGCAGAGCACCATTTGGGAAACACTGCTCTAGAATGCTTTTAAGTAAAATAGCAGAGTGTTTCAGCCTTTCTGAAAGGTGACCTGAAAATGTTTCAATAACCTCCTTCCCCAAGCTCCCCTACCAAGCTCAGAACTACATTCTGAGCACTTCAACTAATCAGATTAGAAGGGGCATTCAGCATGTAATTGATTTTAAACACACTTTTCTATGTCTTGCTGTGCCATCCAAGCTCATTGTGTAGCAGCAGTTCACACTCTGAATGACTCCCAATATGCAAGTTTTGTTACATCAGATGTATGTCTCCTGAAGGATTACAGTGCCAGCCTACGGGGCCTTCGACCATCTAGACTTTCTGCAAAAAGACAGGATGTTGTAACCTTTGAAAATATAAATGACACAATCCCAAGGACTTTACCAAGTGGCACATTTTTTTTCAATTCCATCGACCATGGAACCCCACAGGCTTGGTTCTGCATCACACAGCAGGGCATCACTTGGCTTTGTGAGCCTGCAATCAAGACACTTAAAAGAAGCACCCGGGTGGAGTGAATTTTAAGGTGATACACACGATTCTCATTGGATGGGTATTCAAAAGCACTTAACTCTGCTCCCATTGAAATCAATGGTTAATTTCAATGGGAACCATGTAATTTAGGCCCCATATATTCATCTGAGTAAGGGGTTGTAGTGTAGTGCTTAGTACTTTGGAGATACCAGAGAAGAACAGGCCCCAAAGATCTGCTTGCTCAGTTGGCTGAGGCAGAAAGGACCAGATTTACAAAGATATTTAGCTACCTAGAGCTGCAGATAGGTGCCTTAGTGGTTTTCAAAATCACGTAGGTAAGATACCTAACTCTTATTGATTCCCATGGGAGTTAGATGCCTAACTCATTTAGGCACATTTGAAAATCCCCTTAGGCAAGGGCAGAGTTTCAAGAGGCTAGGGGGGCAACAGCTTTGTATTCCAGGATGCAGCTTGTTTTTCATCCTGTTCCCCGGACTATCAGGAAGTGAGGGGAAAGTACTTGCATTCCGTGCATGCCTCTCACACCTGAACTCATGCTGGGTGTGAGAGGCATGCACAGGATGCAAGTATTTTCCCCTCACTCCCTGATAGTCCAGGGAACAGGATGAAAAGCAAGCCACGTCCCAGAGGCAGACCCAGTGTTCATTCTTTACTGAAACTGAATTCAATTGCCTGCAGCTGTGCTTGCTCCTTAAGAGCCAACATCACAGATTACCTGGCACACTTGGACATGCTCTTCTGACCGCAGGACTTTAACATACATTATGCTACTTTTCAGCTCTATTGCTTTTATCCCAGACTCCCACCAAAAGAGAACGAGTTGGCTTTAGATTGTTCAAGTGCTGAAGTCTGTACATTCAGGAACTGACAGCCTGAAATGTTAGCAATCTCCACACAGCAAGACAATGCTTTTGAAGAGGCCTTTGCTTGTCAGATTAGTATTGAGAAAGGATGACATTACTGGACCTTATTAAAAGATGTAATATTACCAAAGGAGGATAATTGGTAGTAATGCTGGTACCAAACGGAACACCTGAAAACTGCTCATTAGTCTGTCTGTCTGTCTTCATTTTGTCACCCCTTCAGCACCTAAACATTTCCCTTGATTTCTCATGTGTCTGTGGGTCAGCTTTTGTTTGTCTCCTGGGGGGAATTAGGAGAAACAGCAGCAACATTTCTAGAGCAAAAGCTAGGATAAAAAGAGGGGTGAACTTCACAAGTCAGGGGAATATGTCACAATGCGCTAGATAATCTGTCATGCTGGGTTTTGAGCAGAGAATGTGGCCACAGGAGAGTGATTTAATTCAGTTAATTCTTTATAGGGTTGTTAACACTCAGCCTGTTCACAGGGAGTGCTTCCCACTGTTTCTGTGAGGAAAGTTGTAGTTGAATGCCACGAATGTATCAACAAGCCAATTATTGACAAGTAGTGGCGCACATCTTACTTTAACTGAAGCGTTGTAGCTGATGTTGTGGATTATTGCCACATTTATCCACAGCATGAACAACCTGAGCACAAGGAAGCTGCTTCCAGTACTGCTCAGTGACACTGTGGGGTGTGTGTATTTGAGTAGTGTGTAATGGTGGCTTTGTGTCCCGTGCCCCAGTGAACAGGGGAAGCAGCTGCTGCTTGTGCTCCCCACTGCTCCTCTGGAGGCTCCTATATGTTTGTGATCTCCTCCAGACACCAGTTCCTAAGGGAGAGCTGTTAACCAACAGTCCTAGAGTAGTTCAGTCTGTTTGTACCTGAGCCCCATGTGAAGTTATGTGAAAGCTTCACATTAGTCAGGAGAGATGATGTCTTTAGACATGTGAAGATGAAGGAATTATTGTGAAGTCCAGATACATAGTTCAATAAATATGCATCTCATGAACAGTCCCATTGGGTATGTCTACGTTGCGGAGCTATTTTGGGATACTTCTGGTATCCCAAAATAGCTATTTCGCATCTTTGAAACAAGCCCGTTATTTTGAAATATAACGGGCTTGCTATTCTGATGTCCCTGTAAACTTCATTCCATGAGCATTACGGGACATTTTGGAATAGTTGTTTATTTTGAAATTTGGAGCTGTGTTAGACTGCACCAAATTACAAAATAAACTATTTTGAAATTAACTTGAAATAAGCGACTTAATTTGTCTAGCTCAAATTGCAGTTTATTTCAAGCTACAGGTGCAGTGTAGAAGCACCCAGAGGCTATGTCTACACTTGTGGCTTCTTGCGCAAGAAATATGCAAATGAGGCTAAGCGTGGAATATCGCCGAGCCTCCTTTGCATACCTAATGAACCGTCATTTTTGCAGAAGAGGCTCTTGCGCCAGAAGGAGC